TTTAAGGGATACTTAGAAAATAAGTAAACATAATTTGGTACCTCATCAAATACAGGAGGCTTGTGAGAAGGAGGAAGTCTACATTTCATATTTAAATTACTGGGAATCTAGAGAAGTAGGGCGGTGGATTGAGTTTTACGGCAAAGATACTGAGTTTGGTTTGCACACACGGTATTTGTGGTCGCATGGAATATTAAGTATCAATGTTCAGTACACACCTGAATGTAGGATTTGGAGTTCAGGAGTGAGATTTCCGCTGAGATTTGGGAATTATCTGGATAGAGTTAGCAGCTGAAGCTGTGAGTCTGGATAAATTCACATATAATGAGAAGACTACAGAGTGAAGAATGGAATCCAAGGACTGTCAGTGTATATAGGAATAGAAGAAGATCTTATCACGTAGCTAGTCTGTAACATTAGATAAGGAAGGAATATGAACTTTAACATTACAAAGAATGTGAATTTAGGGTATGCTAAAGCCCTGAAAGATAAAATTTTATTTTATCTTTCTTTTATTTGTCGCAGCTACCCTGCTCTTTATTTATGTCTGATGCTTTAAGCATCAGGCAACTGAGGCACAGAAAGGTATAGTTTTACAGTTTTACAGCTATAGGTGGTAGAGCCAGGATTTGAACTCATGTGGTCTAGCTGTTAAGAGTTTACACTTAGGGGCCAGACACCGTGGCTCATGCCTGTGGTGCCAGCGCTTTGGGAAGCCGAGGCGGGTGGATCACTTGAGGTCAGTAGTTCGAGACCGGCCTAGGCAACATGGTGAAACCCTGTCTCTACTAAAAATACAAAAAATTAGCCAGATGTGGTGGTACACACCTGTAGTCTGAGCTACTCAGGAGGCTGAGGCAGGAGAATCGCTTCAATCTGGGAGGCAGAGGTCACAGTGAGCTGAGATTGTGCCACTGTACTCCAGCCTGGGGGGACAGTGTGAGACTCAAAAAAAGAGTCTGCACTTAGGCTGAGCATGGTGGTTCATGTCTAATTCCAACACTTTGGGAGGGTGAGGCGGGCAGATTGCTTGAGTCCAGGAGTTTGAGAGCAGTCTAGGCAACACGGTGAAAATCCTGTCTCTACCAAAAAATAGAAATTCGCCAGGCGTGGTGGTGTAAATCTGTAGTTCCAGCTACTGAGGAGTCTGAGGTGGGAGGATGCTTTTAGCCTGGGAGGCGGAGATTGCAGTGAGCTGTGATCATGCCACCATATTCCAGCCTGGGTGACAAAGTAAGATCCTGTCTTTTTTTTTTTCCCCCTGAGATGGAGTCTTGCTGTCGCCAGGCCGAGTGCAGTGGCGCAATCTCGGCTCACTACAACGTACGCCTCCTGGGTTCAAGTGATTCTTCCGCCTCAGCCTCCCGAGTAGCTGGGACCACAGGCACGTGCCACCATGCCCGGCTATTTTTTCTATGTTTAGTAGAGACGGAGTTTCACCGTGTTGGCCAGGATGGTCTCGATGTCTTGACCTCGTGATCCGCCCGCCTCGGCCTCCCAAAGTGCTGGGATTACAGGCGTGAGCCACCGCGCCCGGCCAATCCTGTCTATTAAAAAAAAAAAAAAAAAAAAGAGTCTGCACTTACCCACTGTGCTTAATGCCTTCAAAGGAAATTGAGAGAGATTCTGACTTAGCTAGTTAATGTAGAATTTGTTACTAAAACGATTATGGTAATGGACAGCAAACTTTTTAGAATTTTATTTTTAATTGTGGCAAAATACACGTAAAACATAAAATTCACTATCTTAATCATTTTTAAGTGTATAGTTCAGTACTGTTCAGTATACTTGTATTGTTGTGCAGCCAGTCTCCATAACTTTTTTATCTCAGACAACTGAAACTATACCCATTAAGTAGCTACTTCTCATTTTCTCTTCCCTCAGCTTCTTGCAACCACCATTCTCCTTTGTATCTCTATGAATTTGGCTGCTCTAGGAACCTCATATAAGTGGAATCATACAGTTATTGTCTTTGTGACTGGCTTATTTTACTTAGCATAATGTCCCCAAGGTTTATTCACGTTAGAGAACATTGTTAGAATTTCCTTTCTTTTTATAGAGGGCAAAATTTTATTTATTAGAACAAATTTTTATAGCCTTTACATAATGAGCAAGATGTTATTATCTTACTGGTTTTGAAAAAAATAATTATTTAGGGGATCGTGACATATTTAGATTCCTTATAACTTCTATAATGATACCACATTAGCATAGTGATCTGAATGTCCTGGATAAAAATTTTAGCAAGAGAATATTTACTAAGAACTTATAAAAGCATTAAAAACGAACAATCCCTTTTTAGTTTTTTTAAGAAGGACAGCTATGGTATATTTTTGTCCCGAAGAACAAAAATTTTGTGATTCATGGGATTCACAGATTTAAAATACAGTTTTTGTAATGTTTACAGGAATGCCTAAGGTCATTGACATACTTTTTACGAAGTTTTTTTACAGAGGCTGGTGTGTTTGGTACTGATTGGAAGCATCTTATCCAGCTGGTGAAGGAATCTAACAATGCCCTGTATTTATAACTCTGTTTAGGGATGTGGTCAGAGTCTTCTTACAGATTTGAATATGACAGTGGAATCCAGATTAGCTCCTCAGTTCTTTTGCTGCTTGTAGAATGAGAATATTAATAGTTCCTACCCCATAGCGTTTTTCTGAGGATTAAATGTGGTAATGTGAATAAAGTGCTTAGCATGGTGACTGGCACATAGTAAGTGCTCAATGAATGTTACATGTGACTATTAGTACTGTCGTGATCTTTTGTATATATGCATTTGAAGAGTCCGAAATGACTTACTGTAGAGGAAAGTCCATTCCATCCCTTGTTTTTGTAATGATTATTTGCTTTAGCTGAGTTGAATTTAGGAAATATTAATCTGAAGCTGGATGCTTCAGAGGATTCAAAGTTGAGTGCAATACAGTTTCTGCCTTCAAAAAGCTTAAGTGTTTAAAATGGAATAATTTTATCTATAGTGATATTAGAATCTACATCTTCTAAAATGTTAAGTTTTGAACTAAAAGTGTAGGAATAAATCCAGATGAGAGTATGGTCTAAACATTTTACAATTATTAAACACAATTACCGGCATACCCATTTATAGACTGCATTCTAGCCCGGGCAATAAAGCAGCACCCCTGTTCTCTCTCCCTCTTCCTCTTCCTCTTTCTTCCTTTCCTTCATTCTTTTTTTTTTCTTTTTTTTCTTTTTTTTAAAAAAAGAGAAACCTTAATTATGATATACTGTGAAATTAGTTTATTTTCCTTAACTATCTGAAACATAGAGTAATAACTAAAAAAACAGTAATCAGCAATAGAATTAGTAGCCCTATCTTCTGATATCAATCTTCAATTGAAACTAAACAAAATCTACCACACATTTGCTTTAAATGCCTATGTTACTGGTACATATAGACAAAAAAAAAAAAACAAAAAAAACCAACAACTAGCCAGGTATGGTGGTCTGTGCCTGTAGTCCTGGCTACTCAGGAGGCTGATGTTGGAGGATCACTAGCGCCCAGGAGGTCAAGGCTACAATGAGCCAAGATTGTCCCACTGTACTCCAGCCTGGGTGACAGAGTGAGACCCCATATCAAAAAGAAATAAAAAGGTAAAGATAGGTAAACTTGAAAGTATAGCAGTGTAAATTACTCGAGCTAAAGCACAGGGGAAGAAAAGATTATAATGAATCCATCAGTAACAGAGCCTTGGACAATGAATGCAACAGCTAGTGGATTAAAGATCTGAAGCTAGAGTACTCGAAAAGAGACAGCTTCAAATAATGGCTTAAAATGTTTAAATTTGGTGAAAATCATAAGCCCAGTATTTCAAGAAACTTAACAACCTGCTGGTGAGTTTTATTTTGCTTTAACAAAATAAAAACCACAGCAAGCCATATTGTAATGTAAATCATTGGTAAAAATTTGTATTCTCTGGATCTTTATAAACATTCAGAGAATAATAGGTACATATGTATTTCAGGGAACAACAATAGCAATTGTCTCTGACTTGTGGTCAAAAACAATGTGAGAAAAAAGGCAGTGGAAAGATATCTAAAAGTCTTGACAGAAAGAAAGAAACATTATAAAGCTAGAATTATAAAACTAGAAATTATTTAAGAAATGAATTCAAATAATATATTTTCCAGACAAACAAAAGCAGAGAGAATTTATTGTCAGCAAATATGCACTATGAGAAATGCTAAAGAAAATTCTTCAGAGGGAAGGGAAATAATATCAGATGAAACATGTATCTCTAAAATGAAGGATTTCAGAAATAGAGAATACGTAGGTAAATACAAAGTGTATGTTTCTATTAATTTTGTTACAAGATAAATGGTTGTTTGAAGCAAAAATACTAATTAACTGGTTGCATTAGCATTCTCCAGAGAAACAGAACCAACAGAGAAAGAAAAATAAAAAGAGATTAAGCGAAAGAGAAAGATTGTAAGAAAGTGGCTTATGCAATTGCTAGCAGTCTTCATAACCAGGAAGAGCAGGTGTTCCTGTGCAAAGGCAGTCAGGCAGAATAATTTTTTCTCTCATCTGGGGGAGGGTCAGCCTTTAGTTCTAGTCACACCTTCAACTGACTGGATGAGGCTCACCCAATATTGGGAAGAGCAGTGTGCTTTACCTAGTCTACCAATGTAAATGTTAATCTCATCCAGAAACACCCTTGCAGATACACTCAAAAGAACGTTTATCAAAATATCTGGGTACCACCTGCCCTAGTCAAGTCAATACATAAAACTAGATATCACAAGTCTACCCCTTGTCAACCTGGCAACTATAGCATCTCCTTAAATCATACTTAAACTCCAAGTAAAGACAGTAACAAGGCCATGATTTCACCTAGTCTGATGTAACAAAAAAAAAAAAAAAAAAAAAAAAAAAAAANAAAAAAAAAAAAAAAAAAAAAAAAAAAAAAAACCATTTTACAACCATCTTAAAATTTCTCTAAAATAGTCTTTGACTTGTGGATTTTGTTTGTTTATTCCAGCCAGCACCTAACCAAGTCACTTTTCATCTGCCACTACATCGTTACTATGCTATGTTTTTGAGTAAGGTAAGACTGTCATTAAACAATTCTCTTCTTTTTTTTTTTTAATTTTCAAAAATAAGAATTGACTTAGTAACTTTCTTATTGTAATTTTTAGGCTGTGAAATGTCAAGAACTAGATTTGGATTCTGTTTTACCAGATCAGGAAATGTTAATGAAACTAATGATTCACCCACTCCAAATTCAAGTATGTATTCAGGCATTTAAAAAGTTTTGAAGTTGAAATGGATTCTCTAAGTGATTCTTCCTTTATTTATGTCTTTCATTGTTATTATAGCTGAGATGTTTGAAAACTCTTTTAAAAAGAAGTTGTTACTGTATTTTTGCCCGATTATGTTTAGGTATTTTTCATTCTTTGAGATTTACTTTTACTTTTTCCAGAAATTCTTTTCATGATATTTACTTATGGGGTGGCATTTAACACACTATAACACTGTTTTGGGAGTCAGGAGATCAGAAAGGTTCTAGCCTTGGTGTTACCACTGTTTTATTTTCCACAAGGTTTAGGGTAATTGACCTCCTTGATTCTCAGTTTCTCTATTTGTACAGTGAGAGGAGAAAGAAGAGAGAAGAATTAGCTTATATAAGCACCATGATTTTGTTTAGTACCAACACTATAATTTTGCAGGCCAGCCTTTTATATACATTAGAGGGACTTGCACTTCAGTATGTTTTTCCTGGCAATTTTAGATTTGTTACTTATAATATTATTGAATTTGAACTCTGGGTGTTAGGAAACAAGAGATAAAATTATGACTCTCAGTTTTAGTTGCCACTGGACATAAATACATGAAGAATTAAATACTGATATAGTGAGAACATTTATTCTGACCTCTAATATCTGGAAAATTAGTAGTATAGATTTAAGATTGAGTTAGAGTGAATTAAAGATGTAGAATGTCTTCATTGACTTTGAACAATTGGTTTTATTTTATGCTTATTCCAGTGTGTGTTTTTTTAAACATTGCATATATTAGGATTGTTGTTGTTGTTGTTGTGGTGTTACTTAGGGTTTTCTTGAGGGAGAAATACAGTGAAATGTAAGCGTTGAATTCTTATGAAAGATGCCAGTGAAAGTCATGATAAATGTATCCAGAGGCCAACATGGAAAACCAACTCATGTTTAAACTCTTAAAAAATGGCTATGTGAAAACATAATTATTGTTTAAAAAAAATGTAAAACTGTATATTTCAACTGATTATCTTTAACATTGGACAGACTGTCAGGCTCATATTATGATTACATCATTAAATATTTTGAGATGGTTATTTATAATATTTTATAAAGATTGAGTTTAGATGATTTATTCTTTGTCCAATTTACTTTTATTTTATTAGGCAAGTCTTGCGGAAATCCACAGCAATATGTGGGTAAGAAATGGCCTGCAAATCAAAGGACAAGCCATGACCTATGTCCAGTCTCATTTCTGTAATTCCATGATTGATCCTGACATTTACCTGTTACAGGTAAGCCAACAGATAATGCCGATATACTTTATACTTACAGATAATACAGATATACTTTAGAAGTGTCTCATTTGTACCCAGATGAGTACATTTGTACCCAGATGAGACACTTCTAAAGTATATCTGTATTATCTGTAAGTATAATTTTAATTTATAGAGGTGACTGAGTGATGACATGGCGAGGTCAGTGCCATTGAAATAATAATTTATTACTTAACGTTTCTCGAGAGAAAAGGCATACCACCCAGCACAGTGCCACAAGGAAAGCACCAGGTTTTTGTCAAGAGTCAGAAAGGATTGAGCGGGAAGGGCCTAGGCCAAAGCCTTTATTGGGGTTTCTGCCAGAAAGGCAAGTTAGGATGGGCTAGTGTGAATAATTCCAGCAGGCATTGAGGCCTAGAGGCTGTACCTGGCTCTGTGGTACTAGGCCCTGGGTTGGTTTAGGGCAGGGTAAATACTGGGTTGATGTGTGACAGTTAGATAAAGATGATGGTTGGCTTGCATGATGGGCATATTCCCAAGTAAGTTGTTTATTATGTTTAGGAATTAGCTGGCTCTGGGAGGGACTATCTGTCTTTAGTCCTGTAAGGCCCCTCAAGATGTCAAATCATAACATACAGAAAATAAAAATTATAGCCAGGCATAGTGGCTCACAGCTGTAATCCTGGCACTTTGGGAGGCTGAGGTGGGTGGATTACTTGAGGCCAGGAGTTTGAAACCAGCCTGGCCAACAT